CCAACCACGCCGCCGACCCGATCGTCACACGCTTCGACCCGGCGAGCGGCCGGCTGCAGGCCACTGCCGTCACCCGGATTGTGCTATCCTACTCATCACCATTATGTCACCGGCGAGCGGCCGGCTGCAGGTCGCCGCCATCGTCCGCTCGGATAACGGCGTCATCGCCCTGCCGGGCGGCATGGTGGATGCGGGCGAGATCGTCTCGGCGACGGTGCGGCGCGAGTTTGCGGAGGAAGTGCTCAATCTGCCGAGCGAGGCCCGCGCCGCCAGAGTGCACACCCGATCCGAGTGCACCTCGACCGCCGCCACTCTCTGAGCACCCAGCGCCCCCCCTCTGATCGCCCAACACAGCCCTCTGAGCACCCCGTACCACCACCACCCTCTGTACCCCTCTATCGCCACCGCTTCTCCCGCGCCACTGCGCTGCACTCGCGAAGGACCGCCGCCTCCCGTCCCCGCACCACCTTCATCATCCATCGATCTCCATCCATCTCCATCCATCTCGTACCTCTGGCCGCCGCATGCCCGCAATGACCACCACCTCCCAGGCGCAGCGCTCCGAGGTGACACGGCTGCTCGACCAGCTCTTTGCGGGAGGCGGCGGCGGAAAGGTCGTGTACCGCGGCTACGTCGACGACCCGCGCAACACGGACAACGCTTGGTGAGCCGCCCGCCGCTGTGCCCTCGCGCCTCCACCCAAAGCCGCCTCCACCCAGCCCGCCGCCACCCAGCCCGCCTCCACCCAGCCCGCCGCCACCCAGCCGCCACACCGCAAGAGCGTGCCGCACTCGAGCGTGCCGCACTCTCGTGAGCTCTCCCCCCGCCGCAGACCCCTCCCCTCCCCCGCGCTCTCCAGGATGGAGACGACGGCGCGCTCCGCCTCCCGCGCGTCTGCACCTCGGCCGCACCTCGGCCGCACCTCGGCCGCACCTCGGCCGCCCCTCGGCCGCACCTCGGCTCCAGTCTCGTCACAGGCCTTCCACTTCCATGCGACCGGGGCGGCGGCGCGGCTGCAGCTCACTGCGGGCGGCGACGCGGCGCGCGCGTTTTGGCTGCCCGTCAGCCCGAGCAGCAAGGAGTACGCGAACATGTTGGCTGACCACCGGTCGTGGGTCGACCAGGCCGCACGCACCGCGCGCTCACAGTCACACCCGGAGTGGGAAAGCAGAAACCTGAAACCTGAACCTCGACCTCACCCTAACCTGGACTTGCCCTGCCCTGCCCTGCCCTGAAACAAACAGGCGGCCGCCACGCTGCACAAAGGCGGCGGCGCATCCCAGTCAGCCTCCCTCGCCAGCCGCCCGCCCCCGGCGACGTCCTCGCAGCCCGCCGCGCAAGGTCTCGACGCGCGGCTGAAGAGCCTCGGCCAGGCGCGGGGGCGGCAGTGAGGGGGCCGGCGGTGAGGGCGCGGCGAGCATGCTTGGGAGGGAGGTTTTACGGTGTCCGTCGCCTGGAGGCGTGCGGCTCGGTACCGCGCCGCGTTGTCCCGGCAGAGCATGAACCGTGGACTACAACAACACGTACAACATGTACGGAGCGACCGTATCGGCCTTGCGGGTCTGACGAGATGCGGAGATTGAGTACGTGCAGGAAGAGGTAGGTCGTACAGGGTGGATAGAGTTACACGTGTGCGGAATTATAATATTCTATCGCCGCGCGCGGGGTTCTCGCGCTCTCTCGCTCCGCACACGTCGCTTCAGCTGTGAGTCGGTGACAGCCCTCTCCCCTCGCTGCGACACTCTCCGTTTATTGCCGTCTTTCGGGTGGCCTCAATAAAGTTATTCTGCCGGTGCCGGGAGAGATACGCATGCAGCCTCACGCCCGCGGGCTCGCGCGGCGCCGCAGTGCAGGCGGACGGACGGCATGGCAAGGCGCGCGGGCCACCGCCCGCAAGCTCGATCCCAGCTGCCTCACAACAGCTCCCTGGCTGACAGCACACACGGCAGTCCCCCTGCTTCCGGACCTGCGTACTCCCCTCGACCGTCCACGCGGCTCTCACCGGGCGCGGCGGCGCGACGCCTCCCTCATAGAGCCTCTGAACGAGGAGTACGGACCAAACACACACCGTCCTCACTAGTAGAGCCCCTCAGAGCTCGTCCTTGCTCTTGCCCTTTGGGCCGCCGAACTGCGGCGACGGGGGAGGAGGCCAGGGCGGCGGTGGTGAGGGTGGTGGCGGGCTCGGCGTCGGCAGGCTGGGCGGCGGCTGGGCGGCGGGCTGGGACATCACCCAGACATCAGGCGGCGGGCTGGGAGGCGGCGGGCTAGGGGGGCGGGGGCGAGGGCGGAGACGGCGACGGTGGCCTCCTCCCAGGAGATGAAGCCGTCCTTGTCCTTGTCCTCCTTCTCCCACAGGCCCTCGGGCAGCTCTTCCTTGCCCTGCAGAGGGGCGGCGGGCGGCGCGGGGTCTGGGTCTCCAGCCACCGCTCTCCGAGGCTGCGGCTGGGGCAGAGGGCCGCTTCCGGCTCTCGGCTCTGCGCGAGGCGCGGCAGCTCGTCCCGTCGCGAGGAGTCGACATCTCGAGAAGTGTCTCGACATCTCGAGGGTGCCTCGGGCGCGTCTCGAGAAGTGTCTCGAGAAGTGTCTCGAGAGGGTGAGTCGGGAGGTGCGTGTGAAGGTGCGTCGGAGGTGCGTCGGAATGTGTCGGAAGGTGCGTCGGAGGTGTGGCGGAGGTGACTCGGAGGTGTGGCGGAGGTGTTCTCGGGAAGGGCGTGTCCTGCCTGCTGCTTGAAGAAGGCAAGCACCTCCTCCTGGGTCAGCTTGGCGTCCTGCGGGCACGGCTCCGAGAAGGCTCGAGAACGCTTCGACAAGGTTCGGGTGAGGCGCGCGGCCGGCGGCGGAGCAGCGCCTCTGTGGTCGCTCGCTCGGCGTGTTGAGGTAGTCTCAGTGTTGATAGTCTCTCGTTGAGGGAGGAAGCGTCTCCGCAATGTCTCGGAGGTGCCTCGGCAGTGTCTCGGAGGTGTCTCGGAAGTGTCTCGGAGGGTGGAGGTGTCTCGGAGCGACCTTGTCGGTATCGAGGTCCTTGAAGAGGTTTGGCTCGGGCGGCCCCTCGTCTGAGTGACTCACCACCTCCACGTCGAAGCTGAGCGCCTAACCTCGGCCGATCTCGGGTGATCTCGGGTGGCCTCGTCCGAATGGCTCGCCACTTCCGCGTCAAAGCTGACCGCTCCTCCCGGAATGTCGCCGCCCGCGCCGCGCGCGCCTGTCCAGCAGCTTGCAAGTGTAAAGCGGCGCTGCTCAAACACGGTGCCGGCGAGAAGGCAGAGCACCGTAGCCCATGTCGGGCGGGATCGTGAGCACCGCCTTGGCGCCCACGCAGAGCCCCTCAAGACCCTTATCCCAGCCCTGGATCACGCGGCCGGCGCCCAGCTGGAAGTCGAACGTCTTGCCGCGGCCACGCGACGAGTCGAACTGCTTGCCCGGCGTGCCCGCCGCGCTGTCCTTGTCGATGGTGCCCTGTTGCGCGGGAGATTGTGAGTGGTGGCGAGCGGCAGCGGCATATGTCTCGAACGCACAAATGCGGTGCGGGATCGCGGTCAGCGTGCTCTCGCTCTCTCCTAGGGGCTGCGATGTCGTGGCTTGCGCCGCACCGTGTAATGCATGGATACGTGCTCGCCCTTCTTGAGCTTGTCCGCATCCTCGCACTCCTTTGGGCCGTCATAGACTTCGACCTTGAGCTCAGTCACGGCGGCGGCGGCGCCGGACGCGAGGAGACTGCAGGCGAGCAGCATGCGGAGCCTCGATTTATCTGTGACGCACAGGGAGAGGCGGAGCGCCGGCTTCACCGACGGTCGCCACTTTGTGTGAGGTTTGGTTTTTTCTTCTTTATCGCCTCGGCGAAAGTCATTTTTCGATGGTGAGTGCCCGCGCCGCCTACTTCCGCGGACGGGCCCCTCCACCCTGTACGGTCATGCCCCGAGACGCTGTCGCTTGTCGTAGGAAAACATGAACCCCGAAAGAAAGAAAGAAAATGGACAACCCAAGGGAGGGATGGGAGGACGGAAGAACCCCAAGGAGCGATGTCGCGGCCGCGTTTTCTTAGTTTTCGATTTTTCGCGCCGGGCCGCAGGGGGTCTGAACCTCCGGAAAAGAAATTCCCGCATCTCCAACGAGACTGTCCCATCTTCGCTGGTTCGCCGAGGCTGGGCAGTCTCCGCCGGCCGCAGCCCGAAGACGCAGCCTTGCAGAGGACGCGTTAGCGGTCAGATGGGTCCAATTTTGAGCCTCGGAGGAGCTCCCGTTGCCTCACGGCGGCTGCTAGACGAGGGCCGGACGCCTCTCAGGCGCCGGCGACTCAACTTTGATCCGGCGGCCTATTTATTGAGGGTGGCTTCACGACTCCGGCCCTCGCACGCGCCCACACGACCCCCTGGACCGGCCTGTCCGACCCACCCCTCTCGACGCGCACCACGCGCCCGACGCAGGAGCCGCGCGGAAGTCGGCGCTCGACGTCGCCGCTCGACCTCCGCCGCGAGAGGCGTCTCGCGGGGCCTGTTCGAGCGTAGTCAGGAGCGCCGCCGCTCCCCCTGGCCATGGGGCACGTGCGGGCCCTTGCCCGTGCCGCCCGTGTGCCGACACGGACCGTTTGACGCCGTCGGTTCTCTTCACACTCGCCCGCGCCTTCGGCCCGCCCGCCACGCCTCCCGCCCCCCGCGGCGACGCCCCGCCAGAGCGATTAATTGGCCGTCGACCTCCGTCCCCTCGTCTGCAGGGGCCGCTCTGCTGACTTGAGCTCTCCGCGGCGCGATTTCTGCAGTTGAGATCGCCTCCCGCCCGCCTCCCGCCCGCCTCGCGTGCCTCTGCTCTCCCGCCCCGCCCAAGCGGCGCCGCGCACGCGAGACGCCCTCTCGAGGTGGAGCCCGTTCAATGTCGCGCTAAAAGCGTGATCGCGTCTCGTTTACGGTGCATACTCACAACCACGCACACCATGTCCCGCTCAGGCTCCTACCGGATAATCATACCCTCCACGACACCGGCGTACATGGCGACGGTCCCGTGCACCGGCGCCGTGCCGAGCCGTCCTCCTGCTCGGCAACCAGCTCCGCCGTGTCTCGATGCCGGCAGCATCCGGTGCGTCGCCGCCGGCGACACCGCCCGCTGCGGCGAGTGGCATGTGCGGTGGCGCGCCCTGCTGCGTGGCCGCCGCCGGCTCGGACGTGGCCGCGGCTGGAGCCGGGCCTGGGTCGGTCGCGGCCAGAGCCAAAAATGGAGCGCAGCTAGGGCTGCGCAGCGAACAGGAGCGAGTTCGCGCTGCGGTGCTCAGTACGGCGAGTTCGCTCTGCGGCCTGCTCGGGCTTTATCTCTCGCGTCTCGGCTGCGTTGGCTGCTAAAGTCTTTTTTATCGCTGCGTTTTAGCTGTTTTAGCAGCAAACGTCCGAATTCTGCAGCGATGACCGATCTGGGAGGCTTTCCGGCTTTGCCTTTTGGTTTTGGTCTGGCTGTGGTCTCACAATTTGGTGCGAGAGACGGTCTCAGTACTCAGACCCAAAGAGAATGCAGAATCTAATGTTTTTTCACACACAACACAGACACAGACACTGCGCTCCCCTCAGCTCCCGCGCTGGCAGGGAGACGCGAGCCCTGACGGAGTCCGGTGGGGGGGGCCCGCCACGCAGCTATAGCGCCGCCCTGCGCTGACATGGTTCGTGCTGAGCCGCCGCCGCCGCTC